GAAGGGCTGTGTATGCTCAGGGAGACAGCTCAGAGGGGCAGGAGTGCATGGGAGGGAAGGACACAGGGAAGAGGTAACTATGGGGAGGAAGTGAGAGGGGCACTGTTGCACTGTGGGAAACTGCAGTCAATGTCATGAGACAAAGTGTATATGAACTGCTGTATGGAAAATGAATTTGCTCTGTAAACTTCAGCCAAATCACAATAAAAATCTAAATAAATAAATGGTTGTCTTGTTTTAAAGTGAAGTAGCTCTTCTGGTTACCCCAGATTACAAAAAAACAAAAATGTGACTTGATCGATAATAACTGACAACTCACCTCATCCTTCTCATTTTTAAGTAGTTGATGCAAATTCCTGTTCTTGCATTGTAACTGTCTGTCTCTTTCCTGAAGTCCAATCATTTCCCTCCTGGAGGTTTCCAGTTGTTCCTAAAACATTCATATGTAATCTTGATTAAAATCAATACGAGACTTGGAGCAAGTGAATTCTTGAAAGATCAGTAAAAGGAAGTTACTTATGTTAGTTTTGTTATCTAAAAATGAAATGTATTATATTATTAGTTGTTGTCAAGTTGATTCTGACTCAGGGCAACCTCATGTGTGCAGAGTAAAACTGCTTCATAAAGTTTTCAAGGCTGCAACCTTTCAGAAGCAGATCATAAGGCCTATCTTCCGAGGTGCCTCTGGGTAGGTTTGAACTGCCAACCTTTCGGCTAGTAGTTGAGCACTTAGCCATTTGCACCACCCAGGAAACCCTAAAAATGAAGTGTAGCTGCACATAACATGTTTATTTAAAGCAATTATTATAAAGCTTGATACTAAAAAGTTATAAAATTTAAATACCAAGTTGTTGATATCACCTCTCCCCTTCTTACATAAATAGTTAAAAAGAAAAAACAAATGTTCTACATATGAAAGTAGTTGGTTGGTCAACAGCCCTATTTCCTTTGTTTAGAGAAAGAAGCAAGTTTACTATAGCATTCTTCTAGCCATGGTTTCCTCTGGAGCCCCAGGGATGTGTAAAAGTTATCTGGAATACTGTCATTATTGAGCTTGAGCTTTTTGGGAATAGATGATCTTAAGAATATTTTTCTTAGAATTAATCGATGCAGCCTCTCACAATAAAAATGTTTTAAATTAAGCATCTACTTTATTGAGTGAGGTAGAGAAATTTTTATTTTCCTAAGACATAAATATTTCCTAATCTCACTTCTACAGATTCAGCAAGTTACTAAATAGTTCATAAAATCAAAGTCTTCAATACAGGTATTAGGAAGCAGAAAGTATGACCGGTATGAATTACTTTAAGTTAACTTTTATTTACTAGTTTAAATAAAATCCAAAACTTAAGAAATGATCCCTAAAATGTGTTTGATGAAGTCACTAAAAAATTGACAGTATCCAATTACATAATGGCATTCAAATGCACATCAATATGGAATTTCTACCTTAAGTTTTGCATAGCAGCTCTGTAGATGGTCCATATCACTTCCCAGTTTCAGATTCTGTGTTTCCACATTTTCCTGAGCTAGAAGGTTCTTCCGCTGAAGTACAAGTAGTTCATTCATACAATTTAAAACAGCAACTATATTTAATTCTCTCTTTGCCTCTTTACCTTTAGATTCTTCATATAATGAAGGAAAACCAAAAGTAGTCAATTCCTGGTAGGAAAAAATGTTTGTCTAGAAGTTGGTTACTGAACAAAAGATATAAACTCTTGAGATAATTAAGAAAATAGTAAATATCCCTAAGGCCAAAGAATTAAGAGAACTGAGCTCTTTCAACCTCTGCTCTGCAACCACCTACCAGTGACCAGGATGAAGCAAGGCACTTAGGTCTCTGCATCAGTAAAATCACTGTTGAACTCTCAGTGGAGGAACCCCTGAGGTAGAGGGCCCAAGTAGTGCTCTAAACAAAACAGCTGCCTTTCTATCCAGGCTAGATGATCACCAGGGTCCTCTGCAAATCTAACATAAGTCCCAGGCCAATACATCACAGTGTAGATCTAGGGTTATGAACTTCTGACTGGACAACTCCTACTTGCCCTCTAATATTATGTAAATTTGCCCTCATTTTGAAATGACTGAACCAACCCCTTGTTGTTGTTGTTGTATGCCATTGAGTCAGACCCAACTCATAGCGACCCCTCCTTGGGTTTCCGAGGTAGTATCACTATGGAAGTAGATTGCCCAACCTTCTTTCCGAGGAGTGGCTGGTGGGTTTGAACCTCCAGCCTTCTGGTTAGCAGTCAAGTGCCTTAGGCACTACACTACCAGAGCTGCCGAACCAACCCCTACTGCAAAAAAATTTTCACCACCATCACCTTCACTTGGTTGCATGTGCTGCTTTTAAATCACTGAAAAGGCTTAAGTCTATCTTGCACTTACTTAAAGCCAAATAAGAACTGTCTGCACCTGTTCTGACTCACTTATAAATTCTTAAAGACACAGATAGGAAAGGATCTCATTTGTAACCCTGGGACTGCCTGTGTACTTGTGCTTGACAGATGTTTTCTCATAACTATGGTATGTTCTAATATGTAACATGATGTATACTACTCCTTCTTACAAAAAACATGTTACCTGATCAAGATATGAAATACTCTGCTCAATATTCTCTTCTGTGCAGAAGGCACTGAAAAAACTGTGCACATTTTTTGATAAAGGTATTGAAGAACACAGCACTTGATGTGAGTATAAACTTGATGGAGACATCTTTGTTTCTGAGGTATATTGGGAGATACTTTTGCTTTCTGAAACAATCAATAAAAGACATATATACATAACTTATAAAAATACATGCAAAACTAACATAATCCACATTACTAAAGACTTTGAATTATATATTTAAGTATTTTAAAATAAGGACAAAGCTATTTTTTTTATATGAAAAGTATGTACTTCTTCCAAAGATACAACTATAAAGTGATGCTCTTAGTAGAAATTACAATAAAGTACCTTAACTTTCTTTCCAACACTACTTTAGATTTATAAAAATAACAGACAAAAGCCACTCATGTATGCCACTTAAAGTGTGAGATTAAAGTAATAAATCAGAGAAATGTATTCAAGTAGCCATTTAATAGATTTCAAATACATAAAAAATTCCCCTCAAAAAATAATACAACAGAGTAATCAATTATTCCAGTAATTATGGCACAATTCTTAGTTATCACTGATAATTTTAATGAAGATGAAAATTACATATTTTACAATACATGTCTCTCTCTCTAGTAACATTTTTTATTATTTTATAATTATATATATATTGTCGTTATGT